TAAGGGAACTAACTAACTGATTCTTTTCGTTTCAGTGTTTATGGCTACTTTGAAATTCGGATGGGATAGATAACTTTTAAGAATGTTACTAATTATATAGTGGACGACGATAATAATTTACCAAGTTCTGAATTGAATTCAAGAGTAAAAAATATATCAAATGAAATGTAAAAAGAAGTTAAATTAAATGAAATCAAATCAAAATATCATGTTTGTTCAGATCGTAATAATTTTTTTTTAATTGAATTGAATTGAATTGAATTGAATACAATTCAATTCAATTCAATTTAAAGTAACATAGTTTTAGTCGATATGTATGCCCTACCATTTAAACTCCCTGTAAATTGTCACTACTAGTAGCTCTGCAATCGAAGCAAACTGAAATCAAAATAGTAATAGTAACAACTTGAACAACTACTTCTGTATCCCATATTTAAAAAGTTAAACACACTTTCTTTCGTATCATCTTAGAGATCAAGAAGAAACAGTTACTTTGTTAGTTAAGCTGCTTCAGTAGAAGCATTATTTTTTTTTTCCTGTTGGTTACTACAGTTGGGATGCTACTCACAAGAAGAAAAGCTGTAAAAGAGGGAGTTTTGTTCGAAAACGTTTACCATTATTTGTTCGTTCTTTTTTAGCATTTGGAAAATTACTCTTATATCCAATCTATCCTTAACGAACAAGTAAAATCCATATTGTAGTTAGTACTCTTTGAAGCCTTGGTCAGTTCGGCTCTTCCATGATTGCCTTATGCATCTATTCTTCTTAAGAGTAGAGGTAATATTTAGTCGGGATACCGTTGGTTAGCTCGGAAATGGTTTTATTTTAAACTAAATTGCTATTTTACACTATTTTATTACTCTTGTGGTTTTCCTGAACATCCTTTAATAGAACTCGGATGCTACTGTTGCAATCGTCTTCTTCTTTATTTGATCCATAAAGGAATATGAGATTTTACAGTATAGCTGTTAATGTTTCGGCTCGACTATTGATTGGAAAAGCTGGATTCCAATCACTTCCAAGGAGACCCGTCAAGGCATTTTTACTTATGGATGGGTTTGGGTTGGTTTAGGTTTTATTCTATAAATTTTGGAATTACACTATTTTATATCATATATAACTCTATGTCTACAATTTTCATTCCCGTATACACAAATCTTAGCTAAAGTCATATAAAATTTACACTAATTTGGTATTTAGCATGCTCTCTGCACGATCTTTGGTATATGTATATATATACCATATCTGTTTGAAAGCTTGCTATTTGTTGTTTTCGACAATATCTCTTGCTGCGTTTCTTTTCAGAGATAATTGGTTACTTGGGTGGTTGAAGATGCTTTCTCGTTTTGTTTTGAGGAACAGTCTTGGGATAGTACATCTGCCTTTGCCCAATGTTTCTATGCTTTTTGATTTGACCATTGGTTAGATTGTTTCTTTTTTACTAGTATTGTCTAAGGTTCAAGAAATGAATGCTTTATTTTTACCATTTGAGATAGTTTAGTTAATAACTCCAGATTTAAATTATAAGGGTAACTGATTTTTCAACTGAAGGGTCTTCTTACGTATCATTACGAAATACTTATTTAATAAAAATTCCCAAACATAATGCATTTATTTTCCATCCCTTGTATTGTCGCTTCTCTAATATACAATATGCTCTCTCCATATTCATTAAATAGCAAAAATAATACTTATTCGACCAATATCACTTTGCTATTTCTTATTAAAAATAAATGAAGCAAAACGCTAATAATTTTTCAATTTTGTTCGTAATTTCGTTGATAGTAGCTCCTGAATTAGATATATTTCTTGTACTATATATCTATAGTTATTTATTCATTTAGTAATTCATCCGTCATTACTTGGATATCTACTGTGAAATCTTAGCAATCCGTAGTATCCTTGATATAGGGAGTCATAATCCGTAATATAGCCATTTAATGGTGAACTGACGTAGTCTGTCAATGTTTCATTACTTAAATCTTCCCATCCACGCAATTTCCTTAATTTTAATAGTTCGTTAGCAGTCAACTGTACCAATGGTCTGGTACCATATTTCAAGGGCCCGACATTAATCCAATTTAGTTTATTATTACTTTTTGAATCCGTATTATTTAAAAAATTCGTTAATCCTTCAATGCTTTCAATATATTCAAACATGTTTTCTGCCGTATCGATAAAATAAGCAGTAACTACTATAATCTGTTCATATCCATCAATCTTATTGTTGATGATATCTAACGGCTGATATTCTCTGAAATCTCCATATAATGTTTTCAAATTCAAGGGTAAGTCTTCAGTTTTAGGTAATTGCACCTCGATAGGTCTTGCTTGTTTGTCAAGTGACATTTGGGATGAATAGTGTTGTGCAAATGGGTGAATTTTCACATTTTCTCCATGCTCTAGCACAAATTGGTTGACTAGATACATCAATGCAGACCATTCAATAGAATCAACGGTGTAGTTTGGATATTTTTTAGCCAAGCTGTAAGAAATTTTTCCAAGACCAGATCCTGGTACTATTATCAATGTTTTGGTATTGGGTTTTATCTCAATTGAATCAATTCTATCCATAATAAATGAAAGCAGTGGTTCTATTTCGCGGTTATAATCAGAGCTCCAGTCTCTACATAAGTGTGACATAGTTTCCACTACTCTACCTTGATTAGAGTTAGTATTCGCATGCAACGTTACCGGCGAATGATTATCTACTAATGTAGACTTGTTTTTCACTGAATATCCTAGTATTCCACAAAGCGTATTCAATTCGACATACAATTCGTCATTAGTGGTGTCCATGATATTCTTTTGTAACAATTTATTTAAGGTATGCTCAATTATTTTTTTGAGTACAATTGAATTATTCTCGATTGCTGTATCTACAGTTTGTATTTTCTCAAAATAATTTATTTTGGCTAACTGATTGATTCTATAGTTATTCAGTTGATTAGCACGTTGTGAAATGACACTATTCAAGCGTTTAGCTCGTATTTCATATTCCTTTAGATTGGATAACGTTTCTGAAATTTCTGATAGACTTATACCATATTTCCCAGGTGCCCTTCCATTGATACTAAACTCGTCATTTTTCACAAGTTTAAAATCAGGCAATCTGACTACAAGTTCCTTTGAAACCAGATTAGATTTCATTAGCATCTTTTCGATTTGTTTCTGAACCCATGAATTAAACGGTTCGTATTTCCTCAATATCGACATTGCAATTGCTAAAATAGTGAATAACAAACTTGCACTGATAGACCCCATTTTACTTTTACCTATCTATATTTTAAACCATTTATCAAACAGAGACAGATCTTGAAAACTTTTCTTTCCTAATAGTTATCCTAAACAACTGAACTAAAAGACTATTACAAACTTGTAAGGAAATTGTAGATTAACGTCAACATCAAGACCAAAACAACTTACCTACGTAATAAATTGAGAGCCCTGTACCTAACAATTAAAACGTCCTTTTATTCTGTTCTTGTTGCACCCATTTTCACTACAAATATTTACTTGATATTAAAATTCGATGCTGTTGATAGTTTCGGATTTGGATATTCGAAACAAAATATATTTTATGAAGCAGCAAGATTGCAGTAATAACCATAAATTGCACCTTGAATAAACGATATCGATATTAGAATAGACACCTCTTATATGGTTGCTTGGGAAACATATTGAATTTGAATGAGATCTTCTATAAAATTAGGATATGTTTATTTAATCTTTATGTAGATATATAGGCCAATATGTTATAATGTCTTGATGAAATAGATATTTAAATGAATGATATTGGGAAATTAATATGGGTATAATGGTATGATTTAATTCAAAATTGAAGTGTATGTAATACAATGTATTATAATGAAGGGAGAGTTAAAAAAAAATAGGTTTACGAACCAAAATTAAAATTAGAATATTGTTTATAGTTGATGTTTATAAATTGATGCGACAATTGAAATGGTTGAAAGCAGTGTTTTTACAGCTATTGTTGTAGTTGTTGATGATGTTAGTATTAATTATGCTTAGAATTTGTTTAAACCATTCTTGAAGATAAATCTTGAGATGATTCTTTAACTGAACTATTGATATCATCAACGTTATTGAAAATAGTTTCGGAACGAACAGCACCTATTTCTTCTTGTTCAATTTCTGCAGGATGTGATTTCATCTTATGCATGCTATTTTGACTAGTATGTGCTGTATGCATACTACTTCTTGATAGCTTACGAGATAAACGAGATAGACCAACAGGTTCACTAGAATGACTAATATTAGAAAGGGTCTTTCTTAATTTGGCCTTTTCTTCATTATCCTCTAATTCCTTTTCACGTTCTTCTTGTTCTTTCTTCATTGCAGCCCAACCAAATTGAGAAACATTTCTCAATTTAGCACCCCATCTTTCAAATATCCATGGAACAGGAACCATTACAACACAAATCAATGCGAAAAGGGTACTGGCCCACTTAATCTTTAAGTTTTCATACATTTGGATAGTGAACAATGGGAAAACACTACTAGTGATATATCTTAACATATTATTAGCAGCGATGACAGAGGCGACATATAGAGGTGGGTATGCTAAGGAAAAGTACATTAAGACACTGAAGAAAATTAAAATCAAACCGAAACCAAATGGAACACCAGCAGCAATTGGTGCCATCCAATGGACATCAGGTCTGGCTGTCCAAGCTTGCCAGAATAAAGCAACTGGCAAAGCAATAGAACCAATCTTACAACAGATTAAAAATTTTTCCGGAACAGGAGGCAAAACATTACCATTTTCATCACGGTAACCTCTTAATGGAGCTGTTCTTAGAGTTCCTGAATTTTCAAGTGGTGGAGTTCCTTCTGGAGCAGCAGGGAATAAGTAACGACGATCAATCCATAAATACAGCATAGCACCTAGCCATAAGCCTACACCAATACCAATAAATGCTAAACCAGAGACACCGTAAGACATTTGGTAGACACCTCTATAAATGACAGGGTAGGCTTCAAAGAAGGCAAATAAGACTGCAAAGATGAAGGCAATGTAGATACTAAAGACCAATACAATTGGTTCTACAACCAACATTTTTAAAGGACGTAGGATAGTAATAGTGAAAGTAATCTTTAAAAACATTTTGTATTCTTCCTTTGTAGGTTTCTTTAGTTTAATGTTTCTCTTTGCTGCTCTTTTCTTTAGGATGATACCTTTGTGAGTTTCTGGCATTAGAGCAATAAAAGGTAAGATTAAACCACCGGCGATTAATTGAATCCATTCAGCCCAACGCCAACCTTGTGATTCACAGGCGAAGCCACCCATGACTGGACTAATGACAGGACCCAAAAATGGAGCCAAACAAAAGAATGTTAATGCCACTGGGACTTCATCTAAATCAAAAACATCTAAAATAGTACCAGAACCAACAGATAGGGCAGGAGATGCAAAGACACCTGAAAGAAATCTTAAAGGTAAAATAATTCTCATATGACCATTAGCTAAACCCACACCCATTGTGAATAGCATTGAAATAGGTAGAGAGAAGAAATAAACTGGTTTACGGCCAAAGACTTCACTTAAAGGAGCGCCAATAACGGTAGAAAGACCTAATAAATAAAAGGTCAAACCGGCCAAAGCTAAAGTTTGATTAACCTTGTATCTAAGTACAATTTCTGGGACACCAGAAACATATAAAGAAGAACCCATTGTGACTACTAAACATAAGATAGCAGCCACCATACAAGCGTACCATTTTTTCCAAGTTGGCCAATTATGTGGGTTATCTAAATCACCAGGACCATCCCAATCTAAAGTTTTTGGATCAACTAGTTCATCTTCTTCATTTATGGATACTATATCAGTAGGGACATGTGAAATCTTCTTCTCCGTAAATACGTTATCGTTCATATCGTTACTAATTTCTTCTTTAGATGAATTTGAATTTGAATTATCGATAGTAGAATTTACAGAAGCTGTAATGTGCGGTACAATTCCATCGTCTTCAATTTTATCATTTTTCAAAGAACTTGAGTTCGTCTCAGTGTATGAACTCATCTTTGTCTTATTGATCTATTATTAAATAATGAAATATCTTGGGATAAATCTAGCAAAAAAATAACAGAGAGATTCAGTACTATCGGAGTGGGTATGATCGAATATAAGATGAGGGAAAAATGAAGATAAGGGTACCAGGGACAAAAACACTAACTATCGATAATTATATATTATATATATATATATATATATATATATTTTAATGTAATGAAAAAATGATTCTAGAGCAATGTAAACAGGCCAAAAATAATGCTTGAAACTAGTAACCAATACGAGCTCAATGAGCAATAACTTAATTCCGTAAGGGCTTAGACAAGGGATAGATAGAGATGTATGTTTTGATATTAAATTTGACTTTTAATTAAGATTGTGTGTAAGTAAGTATCTCTAGGATAGGATAAAATAGGAAACAGTTTCTGAGCGACAAGTGGATTAGAGACAGAAGTAGGTATAGAATGAGTAAATGTATAATGTAGTTGTAATTGCATAATGTAGTAGTAATTGTTGAAGAATTGGAAACTTGTCTTCGAAGAAGTTTTTGATAAAAATACTCTCAATAGTTTAAAACTGATATTGCTGAAGCAAAATCAGGCAGGAAGAGGAGTTGGATATCTAATATTCTATTCAATTTAGTTCGAATCAAGGTAAAACAAAAAAAAAAAAAAAAAAAAAAAGAAACAGAAAAAGAAAGCATAAAGAAAACAAAAAAATTTGTGGGATGTGTTCGAAATTGTTTATCTTTTTGTCTTTTCTTTTTGTTACCGAATTACGATGGATGAAGGAGGGGCAAAGGTAGAGCGGAATCGCAGGGCCGTGAAAAAGAAGCACAGATCGATCAAGAAAAATTAAGGCAGAGGGAAAGATAAAAATGTCAACAGAATTGCAAGCGGGAAGAATGGGATGAGACGAAAAACGCGAAGGAATGTTTGTACGGTAACGGGGATAATACTTGTTCCCATGAAAATATATATATATATAGCAAAAGAAATGGTATCGTTAACAATGACTTTCTTGTTGCCAAGTGTTACTAAGACGTCAAAGTACAGAAGAGCTGTATTGCTGTATTTCCCGATTCTGTTTGTTCTTCATCTATTTTTCTATAGTGTAAGATTCAGCTTTCCGTGGAACTTTGTTTTTTCGGTATTGTCTTTTACTCTTAGAAACACTACACTGCGAAATGATTGTGGGTGTGGTAATAGTTGTGTCCAGCATTTCTCTAAAGGATTTAATGATTTTGTTCGTTCGCTTTTTCTACTCTAAGTATATTTACAATTTAATTGTGGGTTTGCACGATCTGTTCGTTGTTGTTGTTGTTGTTGTTGTTGTTGAAGATTTCTTATCCACGGATTGGACATCATATCAAAAGATACCTGCCCATAATGTACGGTAGACATTTCCAGAAGTTGCCTGTTCGGACATAATTTTGGAAATGGATTAAGGATACACCGGTGCGTCTTTCCTCTTCATAAGAGATATCTGGATCGGCGATAATCAATCTATACCTTTTTTTTGTGCAATTTTTGTAAATGTTCATACAGGTATCCCTCTTTACCATATTTACATAGCTAGAGGGATAATGTTTTCATCGGAAGTGATAATATTATCACCGACGGAAACACAATTTGTCTCCAGAAAATCTTGGAAAGATTCCCTTTTTCTTCTTATTGGTCGCATTGCAAACAAAAACAGAGTTTCCTTTCCTTTTTTCGTCATTGCTTTTTTTGTTGCCTAACGTTATTGCTGTCCCTTATGGTCCACAATAGGACAGCATAGAGGTGAACAAGTGGGAAATTTGAATCTTAAACAGAAAAAAGGAGTCTCTTTCCCTATCTTGTTGCCGAGATTTCACCTACCCGCTATACGTAAATTCAACAAGTTTGTCATTTTTCTCTCTTTGTATTGTATTTTTGTAGATAAAGGAACTGTGTCTTACTTTGGTTACTAAACGAATTTGTTTCCTATTTCGATGATACATGTAATTTGGATATTAATATGTCACTTTAAGTACTACATCCCTCTAACTATTTAGTCAATCACTTTGATCAGCCGAATTAGCTTGAATGGTCGGAAGGTTAATGATTATTTCTTGCCCAACATCGATTGGAACTATTGCCTACTTGGTACAAGACCATTTTCAAATACATTTAGGCTCTCTATAGAATAAAATATTCTATTATTAGCATTTTCTATAATATATTTATCTATATTTGTACGTAAACTGATTTTTGTTGAATACAACAAATTTATTATATCTTTAATGATGTCCCATTGCCTCATTCAGCATAGATTCCTATATGTGGCTAACTGTGATTTAATTCAGCCTTTAACAATTCCTTATTTTCATTACGGTCATCAATAAATTTAACTGTATCCTCAAATAACTTGTCAACATTCTTAATTAAATCTTCGTAAAATGCACTACCATCACGAATACTCTCTTTTACTTGCTCATATATCTTGTATGAAGCTTGCCAATCTTCGATATATATTTGTAATGGCGTTAATCTGTGATTATCTTCTTTTTTAACTTCTTGATTTTGAGCCTCATAATCGCTTAATTCTTTAATAATATTTCCGTTTATACTCTTCATTTTGGTAATCTCGTCTAAGTATTTGGAAAATTTTTCTAAATGTTCTTTAAATTCACTTTCAAACGTAGTTTGTCCATTCTTCTTGTACAATTCGATGATTAACGGTAATATCCTATGTTTGGATGAAAAATTAGCAGTTTGATCGATTATTAATTCTCTACGCCTTATCTCATTACCAATATCTTTCAATAATCTATGTTTACCAATATCAGATCCCCTCATTTCACCTCTAGGAATCTTATCCATAGGCGTTGTTAACAAATTAATATCAATTAAGTTATATGTTGCCAGATTATCATTATCAATGTTCTTCCCATCTTGTGAATAGCATCGTAATTTATTAAGTTTATCGTAAAATGTCTTATTTACACTATCTGATTCAGGTAGCCTCCACCTTAATGTACCAAAGATAAGTCTTAGATCTTTGTCATTCCGAGATTCGTCATTCAGCATCTGTTCAATTTTATTTAATCGTTCTCGAATCAATTCGTTATATTTATTAAATGTATTAAACGATTCCTTACATATATTTATCTCGTCTTCATTAACAAGCTTAATGGTATCAGGAATCTTATCACGTGGGATTTGGCTATTTAATAATTTATTCAATGCTTCGATAGGTTTGTTAATATTGTTTATAACATATTCTTCTTGTCTTTCATTATATGCGCTGGCTGCATCTAATACAAAGGTAGGTAATAAATCTTTGAAAAGTGTATTTACTTGAATACTATTCAAATCATCCTCGATGTCAACAATTTTAACTAGTGCGGTACCGCCGTTAATGATATCGATATTCGTTGGAACTTCTTCCAGATATATAAAATCATTATCTCTTCTTGACTCTTTCAATAATGTCTCAATTCTTTCACGAAATTCAGCAGCTTTCTCTAGTTTACAATCAGTTATTACATCTAGAGCAACCTCTAAAGATCTGACCATTTCACCATGTCTTTTCTGGGTTTCCAACTGCAATGCATTTCTATAATATGCAACTGCTTTGAAATAATCACTCTTATCAATGAGAAACTGACTCCAATCGCCACGTATTAATTCGCTTTTACTAGAATGTTGAGACGCTTCCTTGTAAAGATCACAAGTTTGTTGAGCAAGCTTTGAAATTAACGAATCCTTATGCTTATCTATCAAAGCACGGAACCAGAACAATTCCTGTGCTTCTGCTAGAGTTATTGCAACTAGTGCTTCACCGGTGCTCCTATCGATAACAGGTTCTTTAGTCTTATCTAAATTTTTCAATACGTATGAATAGTATCCAGCACTAATTTGCAAATACGAACATGCTTTCTTCAAACCTTCTTTAGATTGATCATTATATTGAATAGCCAATAATGCATAGAGTGCCCCTATATTATATAAAATATTCAGCTGTTCAAATTTAATATCATATTGACAACTTTTATAAGACTTTTGACATAATGTTTGAAACCATGTAAATTCGATCTGATCTGATGGTATTTTTTCAGAAAATTCAACTAAATGTTTATAGTATTGTTTTAACAGCTGTAATCCAGGCTCAGATACTCCTGGATCAATAACTGAATCACGCAAGTTAGCTAATTTCAATATATCCTCTTCAAAGAAACTAGATGCTTGATAAGAATTTGAATCAATTACTTTCCTTAATGCCGATGCAAAATCAATCTTTAAAGTACGCTTAAAAGGAACAGTCAAAATTTCACTCATTTAAAATTAAATTCGTGGTACCACCAACTATTTCAAATCGACCATATATGCTCTCAAATGTAAAATAAAACCTATTATTCACATAGAATCTTCATCTTATATTCAATGAATATAAATTTCGGTTTTTAGTTAATTTTATAGTTCCTAATTCTGATATTCCCGAATGATAAGACCCGTTCATATATATCATCAAAGTTAAAAACAGCGACAGTAATGATGATTTAGTTAATAGTCTTATTAATTAAATATATAAATATATATTAAAAGGTTCAATGGTCTACAATGATTCTATATAAATTAATGCTAGTGTTTTTTGTTATTTATTATTATTGATGGTGGCAACAGTAGTGGTCAAACTAGTAGTAGCAGTAGTGGTAATAATAGTATTATTACTGTAATAGTTATTATTATTATTTAAAGTTCTTGAGTTTAATTGATACCACAAATTAAAGAGATAGTATAATAAAGACAAAAATAGAAAATTGTAAAACCACATATTTATTAGAAGTAATGAATACTACTTAATAACTCGACTACTAGATTGAAGCGAACAATTTACCTCTAGAGCCTGGTAGTTCAAAATCTTCAGTGGCATCTTTAAAATTATCTTCTTCATTCTCTTTATCCGTTTGTAGCCTGTTTTTATTACTTGCTATACTAGTTGCAGGTGTCAATTTTAAGGAATTAGATCTAGCTAAATCAATTTTATCCAATCCAACGATTTCATCTTCATCAGGATCTTGAATTTTATTGACTTCAGTGCTTATACTCTTTAATTCACTTAATAAGAATGTAATATTGGTAACTCTAGATTTCAAAGATTCGGTGCCTAGGATAGTATTTTCCTTGTCTTGACCAGATGGATTCTTTTTAAATGCTATTCTTAAATCTTTAATTTTAGGGCTCTTTCCTTTGAAATTATTTAAAGACTTGGAATCAGATGATAAGCCCATCATACCCAACATTGCCGATGAAGTGGTTGGCGTTGGAGCTGTAGAAGGTTGGCCAATAACACCACCAGAAAACGATCTTTGAACAGATTCACTTAATGATCTTGTCATATTCGAATCTGTTGTCAAATCAAAAGATGATAAATGAGATGGACCTTGAGATAATATAATTTGGATTCCTCTTTTACTATATTTGTTAGTTCCTGCGTCTGAATAGAAATTCATCAAGTCATCACTACTAAACAGTAATCCATTTTCCATCTTATATTTAGTTTGAACCTTGTAGTCATCAAGATTTAAAAAGGTAGCAGCTTCTTCATGGTAGTAGTAATAAGCGGGCTCTGGTTCATTGTAAATTTCTAAAAAGTAGTTCAAACCTGACAGTAGAGCGATATTTGAAAATTTATTAAATACCTTTCTCATCATTATTCCTTGTTCTTCATTACGACTCATATCCACAATAATTTTGAACAATGTAGAGAATAAAAATCCAGTAGCAATTTGATCATCGACAATATCAAACAATGAAAGAACATTATTAATATCATCGTTTATAAAAGGCACCAATTCCAAGAATAGGTCTAAACCAATACAAGGGTTAGAAGTATTCCTAATTATGTTTATTACATCATTAACCAATATGGATTTGTTGATTTGACTTGTATCAATTCTCAACCTAGTTAATAATTCATATAACATGTCAGAAGTTTGTTCATGATAATATATCTTTTCATTCAAATCAGAAATCGTTGTATAGCATTCGTGTACAATATTGTCGTTTTCAGCATTTTCCAATTGGAAAGCTAATAATTTTCTCATGATATCTAGGACACTTAAACCTATGATACTTACATTAGAGACCAATAACGAAGATATTAATTTCAAAGTAGTATCATAATTTGTTGATTTTTCAGATAATTGTCTTACCAATAGAATGATTACAATATATCTCAATTGAACTGGGATCCCTTCGCAGATAAGCTCTAATAGTTCTTTATTTGGAGTCACTTGTAATTGGGCAAGGACTGCCCTTAAAGCTAATGTCAATTTGTCAGTTTCAGTAGTATTGAAGTAGGATTTTAAAACTGTTATTGAAGCATCACTAGCCAAACTTCCATCAGTTAAGGAAATACCTGTGCGAGTGTGGGTTCTGCTTAATTTCTTGGTTAAAGGCAGTGATGCTGCCGAATGTAAACTTGTTGTTTTAAAATTCGGATATTTTTCTTGAAATATCAACAAAGTATAATGTACAGATTTAGTTATCAAATCACATAATTTTGGATTTCCAGCCAAACAAGTTGTATAAGAAATGTTCAGACAGCCTCTCAATAATAGATCGTCATTATGTAATTGATCTTTAACAATATTAAAATATAATTTTGTAAAATCTTGAAACATTTTCACGAATTCAGTGTCACCACTGCATAACGAATCGTCAATATTTTCACATATACTTTTGAAAACATCGGCGATTAATTCCAAAATTGAAACGTCATTATTTATACCAACATCCTGTAGAATTCTATTTAAAATGAAGATAAAATCCTTAACAAATATATTTAAATTTTCCTTACAATGAATGACAATTCTATCTAGCAGAGCCAATGTCACAGATATATTTCCAACACGTCTGTTACGTAAATCACTGCTACTTCTCTTAACCATGTAACTACTAACCTTTTCTAATTTGCTACGTCTGGAATTAACATAATAAAGCAAATAAGCAGTCTCCGAAGACTTGGGCTTTTTATCAGTAGTTCTACCATTAGGATAACAATTATTCACCAACTTCTGGTGTTTTGGTGTATAGATAAACCTCATCATCTACTAGTAAGTATATTCCTGACCAACTTATCCTTTAATGGAAACTTGTGATTAATTCCTAAAAAATTCCCCTGATAAATTCAATTAACTATCTCTTGCTCAACAGATCAAAATATACCCAATAAAATCGGGAAACAATAATCTAGCCCAATAGATGTTATACAGTTCTACAACTACCTCTGTTATTGTTCAAAACCATTCCATTCTAACTTTCTAATCAAGTTCGAAGTTTCGAACTTGATTACTTACAATTTTCGATTTTTAGATATTTTCAAAATATTTTCAAAATGAAATTTCGATACTTGTACGGCATTTTCTTCGCACATTTTATTAATTTTTTTTACATTCCAGTTCATCAAATTTGCTTCAATTTTAAAGGATTTCGAAAAAAGTGGTGATAATTGTTAGTATGATTTTAAAAGCCAAGATGATGAGATGAGGTATGATTCTATGAATGATTTTTTTAATAGAGGTGATTAGGTTGTTATTAATTAGTTGGAATATTTTTGTATTGGGTATTTGGTAAAGTGAGATAGGAGTGGTATAATGGCACCTGTTCCTATTTATATAAAGGGAGGTGTTTGGAGTAATGTTGAAGATCAGATAGTTAAGGCAGCTATTCAGAAGTATGGGAGTAATAAGTGGGATAAAGTTGCTTCTTTGTTGCAGAAGAAGTCAGCTCGGCAATGTGAATTGAGATGGAAGGAGTTCTTGGACCCTTCTTTGAATTTTGCTAGTTTCAGTGAAGTTGAAGATCATAAACTGCTATTGTTGGTACGAGAATTACCCAATCAATGGAGAACTATAGCTGAGCGTATGGGAAGACCTGCTCAGGTTTGTATCGATAGGTACAATAAGTTATTGGGGGTTGCTGGAGATGATGGAGGGTTGAATTTGAAAATTGGTGATGTTAATCCCATTGCCGAGACTCAGAGGGCAAGACCTGATGTTGCGGAGCTAGATGAAGATGAACGTGAAATGGTAGCTGAGGCAAAGGCTAGATTACTCAACACTCAAGGTAAGAAAGCTACAAGAAAAATACGAGAGCGTATGCTGGAAGAGTCGAAGAGAATAGCACAACTCCAGAAGAGAAGAGAGCTAAAGCAATCCGGTATTGAGACAAAGATTAGGAAAAATAAGAAAAGGTATGCTGATGAAATTGATTATAATGAAGATATACCTTATGAACAAGAGCCTCAGCTAGGGATATATGATACTACTAAGGAAGATCAAAGGGTAGAATACGAATTGAAATCTTTCGAGAAAAAAGTGAACTATAGAGGATTAAAAGATAAAAATGAAAAGAATCTGGATAAGATTATAAGAAAACGGAAAAATGAAGGAGCACAAGTTAAAAAAGGTTCTATAAGGGCTAATGATTCTGTTCTTACTAATGAATACAAGAAACCAAAGTTAGAACTTCCGAAGCCAGGTCAAATTATGGAAAACTTAAATGTAAAAACTGAAGAACAGAAAAAAAGAATATTGGAAGCTCAAAAATTAGGTTCTCTATTATCTGCTGATGTAAAAGGTTCTAATGAATCAGTTACAAGTGTTATCGTTGAGAAACCAGTGCAACAAAATAGATTGGTGAAAAAAGATGATATTATCGTAATCACAAAACTATTTGCATCATTACCAAAGCCTAAAAATGACTTCGATATTATTTTGGATGAAGATTTCGAAGAATCTGCTACAGAAGAAGTGGAAGAAATAAGTATAAAAACGGAAGCGGAAGTCATTCCAAAATATGAGCCAATTGCATTAAATATTGCATGTCTCGACAACGAGAAATTGCCAACCCCAGAATTTATAGAAAACCCAAAAAATGCCCTGGAAAATAATTTCAATGAATTAGTGGCATTATCGATGAACAATACAAAATATATTGATGAAGATGGATTAGCTACATATTTGTCACAAGTAGAAGAATTGATGGGAAACGAACCTAAACAATCAAAAGAATTGAAAATTGAATATACTGACGATAAATCGAATACTATCGAAAGCTTAAAAATGAAAATCAATGATAAAATCTCGCATATTAATTCATTGAAGGAATCATTATTATATGTGAATCCATTGCAAGAACAAAACAATTCAATTTGCAGAGAATTATGTAGTAAAAAAATCCCATCATTACGTGAACTTCAACACAACTATTTTGTATATTACAAGATGTATCAAAATGAATCTAAAGAAATGAATAAGAGAAATATTCAATTAAAAGAATATATCGAGTCATCGACATAAAACTATTTGCATAAATGTGTCACCGTTCTTTTACGTCGTCTCAATCATTGTCATTGTCTTTGCTATTGGCTTGACCTACATCGTATCAAAACATCAAAATTTGCTTAACTATGGATATTTTTTCGTGAAGGCTTTTTTTTTCCTCTTTCTCGTACTAAGTATGTGCGATATGGAAAAAAAAAATAAACTGACCAAGAAAGAACTTAACGTTAACAACGTATTAGCCAACCTGTAATGTTAAAAGAAAAAAATTTTAATAACTGTATTGGGTGTTTAAGTTAAGGTTATGATTGGGTTGTTTATTGATGTTTTGGGTTGTGTGATTTAGAGTTTGTTTGATTGCTTGTTTTCGGTTCTAGAAGCTGTTAAATTTGAATTATAACTTTACGTTTTAATAGGACTGATCAAGATTATTTTTTTGTACAGGTACTAAGAAGAAAAATTAAGCCAACTTTGTTTGAAATATGGTTAGATATACTGTTGATGAATTATTCCATTTAAAGCCAACTGAATCTTTGCCAGTTCAGTTTGATGCAGAAGAATTCAAAGCTATTATTGAAAAAGTTAAGCAAATTCAAGCTTTGAAAGAAGAAGAATTCAATGCTCATGGCGGTCACTTCAATCGTAGAAGATCATCTCATCACCACCATGGTAGACCAAAGGTAAAGCACACTAAGCCAAAGGTTACCACTGATTCTGATGGTTGGTCAACTTTTGAAGCTGCTAATAAAAAAGTTAATGAAGATGAAGAAAGTGAAAATGTTAGTGTTGCTGTTGTTCCAGAAACTTTGAAGGTTAAGCCAAACAACAAGAATATCTCATCTTCAAGACCTGCTGATAACAAGGACATTATTGCTGATAAGCAAACTCATAGTTTCAATGCCTTTGCCGCTTTGGAGAGTGATGAGGAAGAAGAAACATGAGTAATGCAATCATTATTCTTCAATATGATACATATATAAATTGTTATATTTGATCTTTATAATAGACAAATTCTTAATTAATATAATTAGTTTACGATAAGAACAATTCAAATTTGTTTTATAGTTCTTGTGTTTATGTATATATGACTTCTGATGAATCAGCTTACAACTTATCGAGAAGAGCTAACCATTACACTTGGTATGGAATCACTTAAAATTCATAAAGTGGTGAGACCCTTTTTATACATTGCGAATATATAAATAAGAATGGTATATTGATTCCCAATCACAAATTCCATCTCAGCAACCTCAGCTGTGGTTGCTGTTAATAAATAGGTCGTCGTTATCTGGACAGAGATCTGTGAAAACCCTGAAAATGGATGAGTTTTCTGCCAAGACAGTATAATTGGATTCCTCACTACAGTTACCATCCAAGAAATCAGCATTATTTAAAGATGTGGGAAGAATTATGACCAATTGTATCAGATTGAATCGAAGAAGAAGAGAAAGGCTTCCCCCTCTTCAACAGCTGGAGATACATCTTCCCAAGGAATTTATCTACCATGTATCATAATCCTATTACAGAGAAACTGTAACACTTGTAGCATCTAAAAAATCTTGCTCATTTTAAACTTCAAATAATGAAATTTAACAGTAAGATGACGCCATCAAGAACACATGGAATTGATACCCCCCTTTAAAAGAGAAACTGTAATAAACAGTAGAAAATATATATATATATTCCAATACAAGAATAACCATAAACTCTAAAAACAATAAATTATCTATCTTATATAGACTGCAATAATTAAAGTCTATTGATCAATATTCGATTAAACCTAATCATAAATTAGAACATATTTCATTCATTATGACAAAAATTTGATATGGTAAGACTTCATAAGAGCGAAATAATCAGAACGTTATGAGTTCTGATTTTTTCGCTAATAAAATTTACAAGCACATACTAAACCTATCTTGCATCCATAATAATTTTCGTTAACTATGTATGGGAGGGCATGGACAAAATTTAAAAGATTTGAGAAAAAAATAAATTTATATAAAAGGACAAGGTTTTGAGAAGTTGTTTAATTCAAGGTTTGTTTCACTTTTTATTTATTGCTAATTGATTTATTTTCTTTTTATTGTTTAAATTTAAAAGAAGTACACTAAAAAAACTGAAACTTCCGGAATACCAAGCTTAGACATACTACACCTCGATATGTCAATAAAGCACAAATGGCTGGAAGAAGATTAAAATTTCCTAGCTTTCCAGCAATGGAATCTAATCCAATTTTCAAGTTTCTTTTATTTGAATATTGGTTCGCTCTAGGTGTATATTCTAAATCTTATTGATTTTTGTCTGTATTTGTAGTTCGTAAAATTTTACTTATTTTAGGCAGATTAATGCCGTTGAAACGTTCGTCTTGAAGCTTGTTTTATTAAAGTTGTGAGTGAAAACTGATACAATCATATATTTACAAAATTATATAACTAACGACATATGTGTGAGAATGAGTGGAGATACATACATACATATTGGAATAAATGACGAATTTAATATAGGCTTTGAAATATCTAGCAACAAAATGCACAACTTTAAATAAATATCATATTAAGACTGTTAAATGAAATCAGTAAAGTTGAATAAGGGAGTAGCAAAGAAATAAAAAGGTTAAAAAATTCAAAGGCATATGAATTTATGATGTTACAAAAACTACCATATAATAATAATAATAATAACAATAATAATAATAATAAAAAAAAAAATAGTATATCAATGAAAAATGATAATAATGAGAGTCTCGAATGTTTATAAATAAACCAATAAAGTGTAATACATGAGGTAAAATGGTAATAATAATAATAGTAATAATAATAAAAATAAAAATAGTAAAAAAACAAAATAACACATACACAATTGGAAACCAATCGAAAGGGTAATAATAACAAAAAGTTACAAATGCAAAAACAGATTCTTTTGTCTCGGTTAAATCCGTCACTCCAATATAAATATATACATCTTGGAATAAAAAAAATTCACAATAAAAGGGGAAAGGAATAAATAGAGTTTCTAATGTCTTGGATGACCAGTAACTTCTTGGGACCAGCCAGGAATATCCAAACCACTGTTGTATAATTTTCTATCACTAACTACAATGTTCTCCATGCCTAAAGATTCATTCAACCAAGGATGATTTACTAAACCTCCTGCGTCAGCTCTTTTTCTTGGATCAATAGTTAGCATTGGTAATAAAAAGTCTGCTAAATCTTTTGCTTCGTCTTTTGGTAACTTATACTTCTCAACAAAAACATCTTTTAATGGCCAAAATTTCAATTTTGATATGTTTCTTAGTTGGCCTTTTGCATTGAAAAATTTAGAAGCATATCTTGAATTGTTAAGTAAATATGAAGGGAATTCACCTAGCAATTCTATCATTTGAGCAATATGATCGTCATCTTTAGCATATGTATTACCTTCACTAGGTTCAAATAAAAAGTCTCCTGTTACTAGCTCAAAAATTAAGCATGCAGCTGACCAAATATCCGCTGAGCAACCCCAAGAAGATCCCAATATAACCTCTGGGGATCTGTATTCTCTTGTTTGAATGGAATTGGTGTAATGTTCATCGTACCAGCAAGCATTACCTAAATCAGCAATTTTGATTTGAATTCTACTATCTTCTAAATGTGTAGAATCTTCTAGATCAGATTGGCTACTCATCATTGAATTATCGTTATCGATGTTGTCATAATTTGGAGGATCCTGAGCAATTGGATTATTTGAAATTTCAAAAGATGATAAAGATTTCGCTAGCTCATTATCTTCAATATTTTCCAAATTTCTACTAAAACTTTTTGAAGCCAAATAAGAAGATGTAAAACTGTTTCCACCGCCATTTGAATTTATTGAATTTGCGGTACCGGTGGTACCTAATAATTGATTCTTCATTTCAAAGAAATTTACGGAAGATAAAGGAGAAGGTAAAGGTTGGGAATTAGTTATTACAGTATGTCTTCTTGGTCTTCTGCTTGGAACACGATGGAGTGATGAGTTTGATCTATTTAAAAATTCGCTGCTACTGGTTGACACTGGTTTCGAAGGTATTGGCTGATTTAAAGAACCTGAATTAATTCTTTGTAATTTTTTAAAATCTTTCTTTTGTTTATCCAACAATTCTACCATTTCCACAATCATTTCGACGTCACCAATCTGCATTAACACATTTTCTGGTTTTATATCTGTATGGATGATCCCACACTTTCTATGCATATAATCTAAACCTAGTAGTAATTGCTTTGCAATCTGTTTTACATAAATGAGAGGTATACCTCTGTGCTCGTATTTTTTAATCAACGCCAATAAGTTTTCACCTAATACTTCGAAAACCATTACTATATGGTTACCATTTTGACCCTTATGGACGAAATCATCCAATAGAGTTAGAATATAATTTGAACCTGGACTTAAAGATAATGTTGGTCCTCTAGTTGGGGAAGAGGAAGAAGAGGTGTTGTTGCTACCAGAAGAATTTGTCACTGATCTTAACAGTTTAATTTCATCCTTTGCAGCTTCAGTGTAAACTTTATCACTTCTAACAATTTTCATTGCGACATGGATGTTTTTCAAATTATCTTTTGCTAACCAAACGGTTGAAAAATGGCCCCAGCCTAATTTTCTTACCAGGTTATATCTGTTATCTTTGTAAGATTCTCCTTTGAATGCAGGGTGGTAACCACCTGGTTTATAGTCTTTTAAAGATTCTTCATTTTTTTCATCACAGGAGGAATAGTCTTCATCTTCATCATCTATGCTATCTTGATTATTTTTTGAGATTGAAATTTGATCCTGGAGTTGTCTCTTGACCTTTGACTCATTTTCTAAAGCCAAAGATAACTTTGATTTAACAGGTGGATTATGCATGACCTGCTTTGGAGGGTTATATATTGAAGATTGAGCAGAATTTGCTTCTACCATATTTGATATGAAGGGGGAAGGGAAGGGCTATGATACCTGAAAAATCGATAATTTGTATATGTAATAAATATAATATATTATAATAAAAATTTTTAGTTATCCTGTAATTTTGAATGTTATGGAATATCAGAGTTGGTGTGAGAGTAACAACATAAAACAGGAAAAGCGTATATTGATCCCTTAGTCCACACGATCAATGGAAGCTACAGATTATATATATTTAATCAATACAAACACCAAGTAGCACTATCCTGGTATCCAGAAGTACAATAATATATATGCAAATATATATAAGAGAGTATCGATAGAACTAAGTTAAAATATAGTAAAATAACAAAACGGTCAGGACAAGATGTAACAAGCAGTCTATACAAATAAGCATATATAAAAAGTATAATTAATAGTATATGTATTTTTTTTTCTTGTTCAATTAGCATTTGGATTGAATAAAAATAAAATGAAAACGATATTGGCACATGAAACTCATCCGAATTGAAAAATTCGAAATGAACTACAAAAGGGGAGATGGATGAAGAGCAGAGAAAAGAAGAGGAGAGTAGAGTAGAGCAGGTGAGCCAAGATAAAATATCTACTTGACGATTGCATTTGGTATATATTCGTCATATTCAAGAAGTTTGGGAACAAGAAATAGATTTGTTGCGAACGTTTGCATGAAAAGTACCGATGCACGAGCGACAAGCTTTCTCAGTTGACAATAACTTTCGAGCGATAAGGAGGAAAACAGAAGTTGGTTCGAACCACAATTGGGCAAAAATATAACAAATCAATTTATTTAACTTATGGATGGGATGGGANGGGTTCTCATCCCATCCCATCTTATCTCATAATGTAATGTAACGTAATGTAATGTAACGTAACGTAATCTATTGTGTTGTAATGGCTGTGGTGAATGGTGATGACCCGGAAAGGTGTAGTGCTTGTTCGTTTCAGTTAAGTTCAATTAAGTTCAGCTCAACTCGCTTCTCGGTTCGGTTCGGTTCGGTTCGGTTCGGGTTTTGAAATGACGTTTGTTCGAAAACAATTATTTTTTTTCTTGGGACTCGTCATTTTTGGAACGCATTATATACGATCGGTCGATTCCTAGGTTATTGTTCGTATATTGCGATGATTTGTTTCGTGTAAAGAGATATATAAGTTTACATCAATTCGAAATACAAATAAAACACAAAATAAAAAGAAATGTGAAATTTTTTTTTATTTAATGTTTTTGTCTTTCTCCTTTCTTTTTCCTTTTCACCTGGATGTGTTTTTTCCACTCTCTGTCTTCACAGTTCATCTCATCTCATCGCATCTCATCGCATCGCATCTCATCGCATTGACAAATTTCATCTTCAATTATTCGAAATTTTTCACTTTCTCTCTTCCATCTGGTAAAATTTTATATTCAACCAATCTTACATTACACTGCAATTAATATATTGATTGATTGATTGATTCGGTCTACCATGTATATAAATTAATTCATTATTGGATACATACATTCACATATATATATAAATATATATATTGGTTCGTGTCTGTCCTTTGTTTTCAGCACTCATTCTACAGAAAACCAATCGTCCTCCCCCCCCTCCCCAGGCTCATATTCAAAACTAGCTACTCATTCACAATGGTTACTGAACAGGTTTCTTCTATCTTCGATACCATTTTGGTGTTGGACTTCGGTTCTCAATATTCTCACTTGATCACAAGAAGATTAAGAGAATTCAACGTTTACGCTGAAATGTTGCCATGTACTCAAAAAATTTCTGAATTGTCGTGGAAGCCAAAAGGTGTCATCCTTTCTGGTGGTCCATACTCCGTCTACGATCCTGAAGCTCCACATGTTGACCATGATGTCTTTAAGTTGGGTGTACCAATTTTGGGTATTTGTTACGGTATGCAAGAATTAGCTTGGATTAACGGTAAACAAGTCGCAAGAGGTGAAAAAAGAGAATATGGTCCTGCTACTTTGAATGTCTTGGATCAATCTGTTCCATTATTCGAAGACGTTGATCACTCAACCGTCTGGATGTCCCATGGTGATAAGCTAAATGGCTTGCCAAATGGTTTCAAAGTTATCGCTACTTCTGATAACTCTCCTTACTGTGGTGTTGCTCATGAAACTGAACAAATCTACGGTATCCAATTCCACCCAGAAGTTACTCATTCCACCATGGGTAAAGTCTTGTTGAAGAACTTCGCCGTTAAGATCTGTAAAGCCAACCAAAATTGGACTATGGAAAATTTCATCGAAACTGAAATTAACAGAATTAGAGAATTAGTCGGTCCAACTGCTGAAGTCATCGGTGCTGTTTCCGGTGGTGTCGACTCCACTGTCGCTTCTAAATTGATGACTGAAGCTATTGGTGACAGATTCCACGCTATCTTAGTTGATAACGGTGTCTTAAGATTGAATGAAGCTGAAAACGTAAAGAAAACTTTGATTCAAGGTTTAGGTATTAACTTAACCGTCGTAGACGCTGCAGATGAATTCTTAGACAACTTGAAAGGTATTACCGACCCAGAAAGAAAGAGAAAAATCATCGGTAACACTTTCATCCACGTCTTCGAAAGAGAAGCCGCTAAGATCCAACCAAAGGATGGTAAAGAAATTCAATTCTTATTACAAGGTACTTTGTACCCAGATGTCATCGAATCCATCTCTTTCAAGGGTCCTTCTCAAACTATTAAGACTCACCACAACGTCGGTGGTCTATTAGACAACATGAAATTGAAATTGATTGAACCTCTAAGAGAATTGTTCAAGGATGAAGTTAGACATTTAGGTGAATTGTTAGGTATCTCCCACGAATTGGTCTGGAGACATCCTTTCCCAGGTCCAGGTATCGCTATCCGTGTCTTGGGTGAAGTCACCAGAGAACAAGTCGCAATCGCTAGAAAAGCTGATTTCATTTACATTGAAGAAATTAGAAAAGCTGGTTTATACGACAAGATCTCTCAAGCTTTCGCTTGTTTATTACCAGTCAAATCTGTTGGTGTCATGGGTGACAACAGAGTTTATGACCAAGTCATTGCTTTAAGAGCTATTGAAACTACCGATTTCATGACTGCTGATTGGTATCCATTTGAACACTCTTTCTTAAAGAAGGTTGCTTCAAGAATCGTCAACGAAGTAGACGGTGTTGCTAGAGTCACTTATGATATTACCTCTAAGCCTCCAGCCACTGTCGAATGGGAATAAAAAATTTAAATATTTTTTAATTTTCTCTCTTTATATATAGATTTTAAGCGTCCCATTTGATCATACCGTTCGAACTGTTCATCAGTTAATTTGTATAATAATCCTTTAGATAATCGTTTATATAACTTTAAGGAAATCATATCATTAATACTAAACAAATCCCTGGCAGTTTTTTTTCACTATAATTGAAATTGAACAATCAAAAATGGTAATCATATCATGGTATTATTGGCACCTTAATCTTAATATCTTCTTGTCCCACCGGTATTTAAATATACAAAATATCACGTGATTGGCATATGCCTTTTTGAATTTACTACAATTATCTAATACAAACCTTTTTGAATATATAAAAACATCATCACCATATAGTAAATAAAGGTAGTTTAAAGATTAAAGACAAGGAAATTGGATAGAAAAATTGAGAGACATAGTCGACATAAACATTATTAGCATGTTTGATAAAGATAAATACCTTGGAGACTCAAAAAAGTCTCTAAATTTGTCAACTCCAAGAAGAAACCTACAACAATACAAGTCTGTAGTCAACAGACAAAGGACGCTACAATTTCAAAACATGAAGTCACCAGCTCGATTACATGATAGACAGAATAGACACTACAAGGGAACAAAAAGGATTCGAAATGCTTTGCCTCCGTATCGAGGAATAGATGCATCTAATATACATGTTGAAAGCATCAGAGCTGTGAAATGGGTAGAATCGCTGATTAGTAGAGGTAAAAATATTCTAACGAATATAAATGAGGATGAATTGGTTTTCCAAAATGATCTAAAAGAAAAATGGAAATTTAGACAGAATTTAGAAGATAAGAATGAATCATCTGCAGATTCCTTAGGTTCTACCTTGAATGGACGGGCCTTTATATCAGATACCTCTTTTATGAATTATGAAGAATCAGTAACTGATAGTATTAATGTATCTAACTCTGATGGTGACGAAATACAGTCTGATGAAAATGATTTATTCAACGAAGAAAATAGTGAAAGCAAAGAAATCGATGATGATGATGAGGACGTTGTTGTAATACTTTCAGATGGGATTGAAGATGAAGAAGTAGAAAGTAATAATGAAGATTTACAAGAGTCAAACGTATCACAAGATGGGATCGAAAGTGAGGAACTGATAGAGGAATTTGAAGATAATAGTAGTAGTGTAGAGAATTACGATTTGCATATTGAGCAAGAAGTTGAAGATGAAGAAATAGATGAAAAGTTGCATGATGAAATGGAATCATATAGTGATGAGCTCGTGCAGTCTATGGATTACAAATACATGCAGGCCCCATCATTCAATATTCAAGGAGATATCCAAGATTCTGAAGAAATTGAAATACAAGATTTAGAAGATGACGAAGATCGTGAACACAATGACGATTTTAATGCTATATATAATAATGAAGAAGTTAACGGCAATGACAATGAAATATATCAAGAAAATGAATCCGATGACATCGAATCTGACAATATTGATTCTGTTGATAAGTTGCCTAATAAGTTGGATCATGTAGCTTGGGAAACACAGAGCTCAGCAGATGATGCTTCATCTACGATATCCGACAACATTAAGAACGATTATGAAATAGCCGATGATATTGGCAATATTATATCAATGGATGAGACTTTTCAGGTTAGTAATAATCGTATTAATGAAGGTGATAAATCTGAAGAAAATAGTATAATTGGGAATGATATAGAAAACGAATATGATCAACTCGAAATCGATGTAGCAGAAAACGTATTTGATAAATTTAATGAAATAGAAACGGTGTCTCCTAAGGATAGTGAAAAATTAAATGAAGATAATGAACAGTTCAATCTGCCTTCAGATTTTTTTGATTTGCAATCGATAGCAAACAGGGCAATAAGTCAGGTACTGAATGAACAACATTCTGATGAAGGTTCTAATGAGGATGTTGTTACATATGATGGTAATAATGAATTAAATTCGGAATATGAACAAATGGATATTGAAGTTCATGAAGAAAATATTCCTGAAGCTACAGATGCAGTTAGTATAGAAAATGGTGAAGAAATTAGTAGTGTGATTAATGTTAGAAGTTCTCAGAAATTACAAGTTGAAAAGGTTTCAGAAAGTGAAACTGGGACGACATCTGTTGATTATAACCGTCAAAATGAAACATTTGAATTTTCATTATATGAAACTGCAAATAGTACGAAGATTGATGTTAGCAATGATATCAATACTGACGTTTCCAAAACCGTTGGTAATGAAAATTTGGAGATGCATTCTACAGAGACTTCTCGTATAGATATTGAACTGGTTGATTACAATAAAGAAGAATCGCCTTCTGCTGATATTGAGGATTCTGTTTATTATTCTCTAGATGAAATGAATCATTTAACCAATCCAGATGGGGGGAGCATAACAAATAGAGTTACAGAACGCTCCTCCACATATGAAATTGTTTTTTCAGGTTCTGTCTACAGTTCTTCGTCATTTGAAGATAATAGAGAGGTGATAGAGTCTAATACGGAATATATTTCACCTTTTAGTGTGAATCCATTTACCGGGAATTCTGATGATAAAAAAGAAAACGATATATTACAAGAAACTTTGAAAAAAATCGTCAAAATTGAAGTAGAATCTAATAACGATTACTCAGAACATATTAATAGTACTACTGAAACAATAACAGGAGACGCGTTTCATGATACAACTGCTACTGTACGGGTTGTTGAAGAAAATGATGAAATCAAGGCTCAATTTACCACAGAGAATGGCATTTCCGAAATTGAACTGAATAATGAAATTCCAAAATATGAGATAAATCAGCTAAATACTACTAATAATAATAGTTTCATAGTCAATCAAAATATTGTAATTGAAAATGAAGAAAGTGAGACAGAGGAAGCAGGATTTGAGACAGCTATTTCTATAAAGGATGAAATTCTGACAAATTCTAATAAGCTAATCTTAACGACAGACACTTCTCTAGTTGAAAAGGATTGTTTAAGAAATTTTAAAATAGATAAGAAATTAGAGTATCATCAAGATATTACAGATATTCAAGCAGGGGACGATATTTCTCGGTTTTCGTTTGATCAGTTAGAAGATGACTCAAGGTATCGCACTGCTATTCAAAACAGCAATGTTGAATCAGAAATTGAGAAGCAAGAAGAATTGAATAGTTCGTATGTTCAAAATGATAAATTATCGGATGACAAAACAGATGGCGATTCGAAATACGACATAACTAAAATGGCTAATTCTTCTATTGAATTTGAAAACTTGGAAGGAAACAGTGATAATATTGCACCAATAATTCAAAAATCAATAATAAACGATGCTGCAATCAATGAAACAAATTATACTGAAATCTCACAAAACCCAAATGATGATCATGCTCTAGATAAATTTGAATCAAACGAAGTCGTAAATGAAGATTTAGGTGATAAAATTGAAAACTATGAGGTACATACAGGAACTCCTGTAAAGGGTTATAAATCATCACTCGATTATCAAGCAAAAAACTCTATCGATAAAAGTATTATTATTCATGGTGAAAATAATAGAGTGCAACATCAAGAAAATGTATCAGAAAATCCTTTGAAAAAAAGTGTTGAAGCTAATAATGATATAGTTGAAGAGCAGGAAATGGTCGAAGAACAGGAAATGGTCGAAGAACAGGAAATGGTCGAAGAACAGGAAATGGTCGAAGAACAGGAAGTAGTCGAAGAACAGGAAATGGTCGAAGAACAGGAAATGGTCGAAGAACAGGAAGTAGTCGAAGAACAGGAAATGGTCGAAGAACAGGAAATGGTCGAAGAGCAAGAAGTAGTCGAAGAGCAAGAAGTAATCGAAGAACAAGAAGTAATCGAAGAACAAGTAATGATCGAAGAAATAAATTACAAAACTCAAACTTTCACTAAAATTCATTATGATGATATTTTAATGGAAGAAATTGTGACAGATTCTGAAAATATCGATAAAATTGAGGTCCTAATAAATCCTATCGTTGAGGTTGTGGATAGCATTCAGTACAAATTTGAAACGGTTGATGTAGAATTGTGTGACATGTCTGATTTAGATTCAGGAAGCACGATATCTGAGGTCCCTGTATTAAATGATTATGAGGTATTAGAAAGGGATTCGGAGTTAGTTGATGATTTTACAAAAGTAAATACAAATGGTGATTATGAAAATATTGGAAATTCAGCAGATTTCCGCTCATCATACGAAATTCCTACTGGACACCCTTCGAATTCAAATTCACAAAGTTTTGAAATTAACGAAAGAAATATAGACATAAAAATTTCAGAAAACGAAATAGAGAAAAAAGAAAATGATCATGAAAGTAATCCTTCTGTTACAAAAAGATTGATCTCATTACCTATAAGAGCGATGTCATCAATAGTCAGAGGAATCAAAGATGTGGTAAATGCAGTTCCATCATTTGTTAAAGAAATCGATCCTTTTGAAACAGTAGATGACAGTTCAACCCTCTCCACACCTACAGAGGGAGCAATAGAAACGAAAGAAGAAATGGAAGATGTTGAAGATGTTGAAGATGTTGAGGAGCACACTCTTCAAACCATCATAGTAACTGATGCAGCCCCAGATATTGAAGAAGAAATACTTTTAGGGGAAGAATATGTTATATCAGAAAGTGAGGTTAATATAATGGTGTCATTAGATATAGATAATGGCCTGTCTTCTGATGATTATAATAATGAATTGGATGATACTGAAAAGAGTAACATCCTTTCCGAAATTCAGATATTAAACGAACTTGCAGAAAAGATTAACAGAGATGGATTACTGAATGAAGATTATGATGACATTGATAATGATTTTGAACAAGTGCTAAAAGGAAAAATTGACGAAGTTCATGAGACTCAAGAATACGCAGATGAAAACATAATGGAAAATGATGGATCAACCACTGAACTCAATAACTTCGAGAGAAAAGATTATATGCCTGAATCTGAAGAGGTTATCGATACTGGAATCATTTCAAATCCTGAATCTATGGAAGATATAGAGGATGGGTCTAGAAATAATGATAAACTAGATGCAGGGAAAGAAGAAATCAATTATTCTGAAAGTGATGCAGCTGAAAAAATCAATAAAATCCTTGTCAAGGTGGATGAGAATACTGTAAATGATGAGCCAGTACCTATTAACATTTATAAGGGTTCTTCTGACTTGGACATTTCATTGAAGGAATCAATTGAAGTCGATAAAGAATCTGTACCTAGAAATCCAGATCAAACTTTAGTAAAATCTGAAAATCCTGAAGAAAACCTGAAAGTACCAAGTTCAGATCCAAATCATAATGAGAGTAATAAAATCAGTGCTGTTAAACCTACAAAGAAAAGAGGAAGGCCTTCTCTAAAAAGTGGCAAAAATTCTAGAGGTAATAAGCGTAAGAACACAGAACCTGAACCTACTGACAACTTAAAGAGATCAAAAAGAGGAAGGAAAAAGAATAGAAAAGGAAATTCCAAGTGGAATTCAAGGACTCAAAAAAAGGATAACAAATGAATTAGTACTAAATATGTATTTAACTGTTTTTAAGGTATATATAATTCTGTTATAATGGTTTCATTATATATTGTATGGATGGATTGAATTAATAGTATTTATTCTTCAACATAATAATTTGTTTGAATTTGAAATGTGTTTTTGTTTTCATGATAAATATGCTAAAATTAGTGAATTGCCGTTACAATAATGGAAATTTAAATTGGTAAAGAAAAGGTCATCATTTCAATCTTGTTCGATATGATGAGCGTTTGTTAGAGCCAACCTTTTTTACGAACACCTGCAACACCACCTTCGAATCGTGATAAGATGGCCTGAACTCTTTCTGTACAAACCAATTCATTCATTTTTACAACTTCATATTCAGGTTTTGTTTGCAATTGTTTTTCAGGAGTGTATCTACTTCTTGTAGGTAAAATCCAATCAGATCTTCTATAAGGTTTCTTCACTTTTGGTACTAATGATTCAAAAAGATCATGAATTCTTGGATTATCATCTAGATCATCTAATTCTTCCTCGTCTGATTCCTCCTTTAATGAAGGGTTTGTAGATTTCTGTGATATCCTTGATGATCTTCTTATAGTACCGTCAGGTACTGGGGTAGGGATTATTGATTTAAGTGAAATATCACAAGTGATTAAATTTGCAGGTTTTGAGTTAGTTGGTTGTTCTATAACTTGAATATTTTGAGACGAATTATTCGATATCCTTGATCTAGTGATTCTTGTTTGAGAAGAAGTTAAACCCAATGGAGTAGCACTCTTGGAGGTTCCCAAATATTTGTCTTTATTTAATTTATCCAAATTATGAGAAGTTCCTGAATCGCTGTCGTCCGATAAATTATTAGGAGTAGAAGAATTTGATTCAGAACCATTTTTATCATCTTTACGTTTAATTCTTGTGTAATAAATACTATGTTCTCTTCTTCTTAATACATTTATATCAACACGACCACTAGCTGACCTACCTTTTTTGAAATTATGGATAATAAAATAATCGCTGTATGATTCGAACTCCAATGGCTGTATTGAAGAGGAAAAATTTTTTATCGCTAAAGCAAGATCGTTCCTCCTCTGTGAAACTTCATCTAAAGTCTTTGGATCAGGTCTAATAATCTTTATTTCTTTCTCTTTCTCTTCCACTTTCTCTGCCACGTCCATTCCCAATTCCCCTTTCTTCTCCTTTTCGTTTTCCTTCCCCTTCTCCTTCTCCTCGTCTTCCCCTTCAACATCAACTTCAACTTCAATATCAACATTATTATTATTTATCTTCTCCATCACATCATTATCATCGATAGCATCAAATGTTCGTTTGGCAATTCTATTCTCACTTGGCTTCCCTGCAAACTTAGATTCTTCTAAAACAGCACCCATCATTGACTGAACAATAATAACCTTATCACCATCATTTGTACCCTCTCTTGGAGTCATATAACAAGACTCTTCGTCCTCTTCAGAACCAATAGCACTACCAACAACCGAATTCATCTTATCTGCAATAATATTTTATTTTAATTTATTTTTTAGCCTCTGGTCTTCTGTCCTGACCCACCCAAAAGTCCCCACAAATTACTACAAATATTCTTAAAACTTAATTTACCCAAACCTTATCAAATCAAACCTTATATAAATAATAAATCCTTTAAAATCATTACCTTTTATTAATCCAATCTGACTGAAACTTTTAAAACTTTTATTTTTTTTTTTGCTTGCTTGCTTGGCTTGGCTTCCTTTGCTTAAACGTCAAAAATTCCAGATATCACCTCTGTCGTCATCGTGTCGTCGTCGTCAGTAAAAGCAGTCTGAAAAAAAAAAGTAGTGTTTGATGGAATGTAGTGGATGTCAATTTGAATTGATCAATGACAGTTGTAGTTTCTGATGCAATTGGTGGTTGTAAGTTTGTTTTTTTGCTTGTTTGTTTGTTTGTTATATAATTAAATATTTTATTTACAATGTTCCTTTTGAATCAGTTTAAAATTCTGTCTGGAAGTTGGTTTATGGTGGTGAGGAAGAGTTGATTGAATTGGAATTGTCATCTTGAGTAGAGTGTCTGAAATTTGTGATTGGTGTATGGTTTGGTTGTTCTCTGTGGATGAAGGTTATTAGTGCGGTTGCAGATATTACTGTTAGTGTCAGTAATGTTATGTTTACTGGGGTTGGGTTCATTGAAAAATTTGTGTGGGTAAGGTTGTCTAAGTAGGTTTGAGTCATGTTGCATATACCGCAGATGCAGGTTAGTAAGCCGTAAACTGTTCCAAAAGTTTGGAATCCAAATGTCTTGGATGTGTAATCTGACACTACTGTGTAGTAGAATGGTCGGTAGACCACGAAGAGGATTACTCCAATTAGATTTATTTCAAATGAATTGGGGATCAGTCCACATATTCCGATTATGATGGAAACTGTTGTTAGCAACAACAATACTCGTAAGGACTGTAGATGGTCTAATATTATCCCGATTATTGGAATTGAAACTATACCTCCCAAGGGTAAAAGTATGTCAAATATGGAATTCAATTTCGAAGCTAGCTGTTCATCTCCCAGCAGGTACTCCGCTTGTGATTTCACTGTGGCAACAAAATAATTGATTCGAACCATACAAACTGCTGCAAATATTAACATCAAGTAAAACCAAGGACTGGACAGCTGTGTCTTCAGTGATTCGTGATGTAAAGTGGTACCATTTATATTGTTGATATGTCTAAATATTCTACTTTCTGCGACCGTTTCAATACTTGATTTCCTTCTCGATCTTGAACTTCTACTTTCCAACAATGGATCTTCTTCGGTGGGTACTTCTGATCCCTCTGCATTGGTATCTTCTTCTGGATCGATAACTTCACTACTGCTATATAAAGGAGTTGGTGATTCATAAGAATCTCTAGGCATTATGAAAATCTGACAAATTAAAATGAATACTGGCACAATCATATAGATTTTGAAAAATCTTTGTAAACCAAACGAGTAGTTAGAACGTTCATACATCTTCCTGTATATCAAAAATAACGCTGATGATGAGTCAAATGTACCTGTAATTAAGGCCATTATAGTCCCAGCTCGTGATGGGAAGATATTTGATAGGTGGAAACAAGAAATAAACACAAATGGGCCACCCACTGCTAGTAGAATAAACCCAACAAAATAAGGATCATAATATTGGCCAATTGAGCTATCAAATATAAAATTGCAACCTCCTAGTGCTATAAACAATGCCCCAAATATCCCAGATAATCGAGGCCCACAGTAATCCAATATCCAACCGACAGGCAATGCTATTATATTCGTAATTGTGGCAGCAACAGCAAACATGTTATTCAACTTTAAATCTTGTTTAGTACATGGGACACTTGATATTTCACTTGACCACATCAAATCATCTTTGCATAATTCAGAATATATCCCTTCTTTGATCAGTACCGGTTTTAAAGCAGCAAAGCCAAATATAATACCTGAAGAGAATAAAGACCAGATACAAGCACAAGCAATCTCGATTAGATACTCTCCAACGTCTCGATTGTTCATCATTGTTTCCCTTTTATTCCTTTATGATCGATGAGTTATAGTAACTTGTAGTCATTATGATAATAAGCTTGCGTTCCTTAAATACCCGAATGCAATAATACTTAACTTGACGTTAACATTTTGCCAAATTGTGAATTAAAGGTCTTACAATCAATTAATAATAGGCATTGCATTTTAGGTATCATAAGTTGATAATCTTGGTTGTCTATAAAAAGTGTATGTATATAATATTATAAATCAATTAGTGGATGTGATCCGATGACCTTAAATTTTACCCATTGAATCAATCATGTCCAAAAGGTCATCATCCAGGTCTGGTATATTAGAGTTTGAAGCTTTAGTTTCAATCTTTGTTTTGGTTAAGCTGGTATCTATATTAGAAGAACTTCCATCCATACCTTGAGCTTGTACCCAATTGCATATTTGTGATATTATAGGTTTGGCACTAGGAACAAAATGGCCTCCTGGATGTACTAGCCAAGTTCTTGAACTTTCATCACAAGCTTCATATAAAGTGTCACTTCTCTTCTCTGTTACTAGAGTATCCAATTCACCTTTCACTAGTAGTGTAGGGGTTTTAATTTTGCTATTATTGTAGGAATCCTGGAATCTTTCAGGTTCTAACCTAAAACCACTGAATGAAATGAAAAATTTAAATTCAGGTTGCTCTTCTTCAGTTAATCCAAGAATTTCATTAAAATTTGTCAGAAGATAACCAGCAACGCCTGAACCTTGACTAAAACCAATAATACCATCGAAGGGACCATTCTCGACGATATAATCATGAAGGTATTTTATAGTATCTGGCTTGATCTCATAATCTCCGGTAATATCTGTTGGTGATCCAACTTTCTTGTACCAACCATAAAGATCCTCTCCTGTGTTAGAAGTGTTATATTTCTTACTTATGTCCTCAGTATCATCATCTGCTTTTAATTCTTTTTGTCCAATATGTTCAGGTCCACAAGGAAAATAGAAATCGTATCCTAACTTACTCAATGGTTTACGTAAACCACCAGTTTTGGCTCTAAATATTTTATCGGATTGCACATAACCATGCAGCATCAAAACCTTCTTTTTGATCATCTTTCTTTGGTCCTCTTTATCAACTGTTTAACCGTCTTGCTCTCACCAAAGAGGTACTGACTTTTCCAAATATCAGATCAACAAGATATATCTTTAAATAGTACCATAACATATGGGTAAATATGAGATTTTATAAGGGTAAAGGCTGATAGATCGTGGTCTGACTCTATAAGGCACTAGGATGGATTATATTCATCTAAGTTAGTAAGTCAAAAGAATATTCCTGAGTTAATAGGAGATGTAGTTCAATAGAGATATGTGTTTAAAAACGTCTCATCGCATTAACTATTAATCTATATGCTATTTTATTTATATTGCTATAAATTATCCTGAAAAATAAATTAATTGAAGAAATCATCGTCATCGTCATCTTCTTCATCGTCGTCACTTAAATTGGAGTTCAATTTACTTGATCTAATGCTTTTTTTATTGGCAAAGGTCAATTTTCTTTCCTCACGCAGTTCATCTGAATCTGCATTCATCATTAATCTGTTGTCACTGTCTTTGACAGCACCAAGTTTTACCATTAACTTTTCAAAATCCTTGATCTTTGTATCATTACCTCCTAATTCTAATAATGTCACTAAGTTTTTTAATACTACACCTTTATAGTATACCAATAGAGTAGGACAATTAGAATCTGGATAATTCTCAATAGCTCTGCTACCAGGAATTTCAACGAATTTTATTTCTGAGAATTTTGGTGCCATTGTTTGGAAGATATGGGATAAAATTCTACTTTGTAACTTACTCTGTAATGATAGATGAACAAATACATAAACCCCTTCCCCTTCATTTTCATCTTCATTTCTATCACCATTGTCTAAGTATTCCGACGTCTTAGTCTTAGGCTTAATTGTACCCATACTAGCATCTGTAACCTCTTTACTATATTCTGGTTTATTAATATGATATACATCTCCAAATTTGGATCGTTGTTGTAATTTTGCCAGCTCAGCTAATCTCTTCTTCTTATAAAATTCCAAAAACTCTTCATCTTCATCGTCTTCTAATTCCTCTAAATCAGACAATTCTTTCCCTTCTAATCTGTTATCATGTTGTTTGGCCAATGCCTCCTGTAAAGCTTCCTCCAGCTGAGCTGTTGGGGATGGTGGTCTCTCTGGAATAACACCTTTGGCTCTCAAAATATCATTCCATTCAGTATCTTCAGATTCGTCCACTTGGACTTGAAACATAGGCTCGTTCTGCATCTTAATATTGGAACACCTCTAAACTAAGCAGTTCAATTAACAACACACGCCAGCTAGATAAGTTGTTAAACCTAATTTAACACCTTTTCTCCTTGTTCTATCCTCACCAAAGGTGCTCTTATAAGCATCTACTTTTAACATTTTTCTCAAATCCCATCCATCGATATCTTTTTTATAGAAGCCCATTTCGATATTAATGAATAGTATTAAAGGTAATGAATGTCTAAATATATAAAAGATTATCATTTTAAAGGACAGTAAACTATCAGAACTTCAAGAGTAATAGGTTGATGATATTGTTAGAAATGCAGTGAAATTTTATTAAAAATTATTAAAATTATATAAAATGCAATAATCATGGTTAATATAATTATCTTCTCTTTTTATTTAGTAAACTTTGTAGAATATCAGTTTTAGGAGTTTTAGTTTCTTTCTTCCCAGCTAGAGCTGATCTTTTAGTCGATGAGGGAGTTGCCTTTTTTCTTGAGTTCTTCTTCTTTATCGTCTCGATAATTCTTGGTGTTGCTTCTTCTTCATCACTAGTCAATGTGATTAAATCGTCCTCATCTTCTGACACATCGTTATTGTTGTTACCAAAATTGTCATTATCCCTATATATATCTTCCTCACCGCTGTCAGATATCACAATAGAATCAGATATTGGAGGTGTTCTTTTAGTGGTTCTGGTTCTTCCTTTAGCAGGTGTTTTACTTTTCTTGCTAGGAAGCTTTGCTGCAGGCGGTTCCTCTATGTCAGACATGATAATATCATCGTCCTTTGAGGAAGTATGTGAAATATTAGTACGTGAAGTAGAAAACTCGGCATCGAAAACATCTTGTACGTTGGTATTTTTTTCGATATTAGAAGAATCTGGTCTTGAAGAATTAGCCCTCTTCACTTGCTTTATTAATTTTTTTAATTCATCAGGATTATTCCCATCAAGAAATTCTTTATTGTTAATCAAAATGTCGACTTCATTTACAATTTCTTTATCAATGAACTCCTTCAACGCAGATTTTTCATCTTTATCAACAAATTGCTTTACTGCTTCATTCAAACCAACTTCTGGAAGCAGTGACAATGACATTTTACTCAAAAGGTCATTAACTAATGTTTGGACTTCTAGTTCTCCATCTTTATCTTCTATGATTCTATCAAACTCTGTGTTCAAACGCTGGCTGTCAACATTTGACTTTTTAGCACTCTTCTTCCTCTTAAAAAATTGAATTACATTGTTGCTATTTGCAACAGATCCAACAAATCTGTTGCTAAACCGCCGAGGATTCTCGACTTGATAGTCTATAATAGATTGTTTATCTTCTGGTCCTGTATAGTCGACCCTTAATCTAATCAATGGTAAAGGAAGTTCAGATATTATCCCACCATCAGATTCGTTATATAGATCACCAAGTTTCTTTTTAGTCTCTTCGTTGGCCTCTTCGATCATTTCTTCTACTTGATTTACTAGATATTTAGTGATTGATTCTTTGTCATGTGGCCTTAGATAACTAACATCTTGTAAGGCAATTGTTCTCATGATAAATGTCCTTGATGTTGTTAAAGGTATTGGCTTCAAAACTGGAGAGCGCCCTTGTTCTATCTCTAATATAAACACATATTTCGTTTTTGCCTCAGCATCGCATAAAGATGTAGCTACGGAAGACCCAGGCTGTAACACATCGAAATTCTTAGTTGGATTATGAACTAAATGAGGTATACATTCGTGTTCATGGCCCCAAATTACCAAATCTAAAAAGTCAGGTAAAAATTGTTCTGGTAAAAAAGCGGTATTGGTATGACCAGTATGATTCTGGTGCACACACATAATATTAACCCATTCATCTTGAAGCATTGTAGGCACTTCAAAAGTGACGTTACCTTCTTTAAAAGTTCTAAATAGACGTTCGTCTCTGACAGATGCTAAACCATATAAAGCCAACTTTGTCTTACCCTTCTGGAAAAGCAAAGGTGTGATTTTTATCTTGTCAGTCTCCAAAACTTTACCAAAATTGTTTACTAAACCACTGACTTGTAATAGATCCATTGGACATAATAAGGAATCACCAGTGGCATCATCATGATTACCAGCAATACAAAATACAGGAATCGCAACATTATAATTCGGATCCTCGTAGTTGACATTGGTAAACTCATTATAATAAAAAACTAAAGAGGGATCACTCAACAGTTCCAACTCACAAGGCTTATCACCCATACAAGCCAACCGTAAAGATTTCATTACCTGGTACATCGATTTTTTAGATGGCTTATTTACGTGGAATAAATCTCCAGCCTGTAAAACCATATCAACATTATTATTCTTAGCAATCATCATAATTTCATGGAACGTCTTCCAAGAATCATCCCCAGTAATTGGATCATTCTCATTGTAACCAACATGATTATCTGTAGTGATCAAAATACGAATAATATCTTCTGATGGATAATCCATTGCTATTCCTTCCCAACCCTCCAATATAATCGAACTATCCTCTCACCTAAATCAAGATAGATTCCATAACTTTCTTGATATACCTTAACAGTACACTCAACTGAACCTGACTTTATAAAACAATTCAAGCAACAGCCTAATCTATGAGTATTTACCAATCGATGAGTATTACATTGTTCATTATAAATGGATGGATGTGTGTGTGTGTGTATGTGTTTGGATATTTTAATTTACGTTCGGTTTAGTTTGCTAATGATGAAATAGATATCTGAAATATTTAAAAGCAACTGGGAAAGAAAGATGACTTTTGATTTAAAGTTAAGACAAGTTATGGATGGGTTAGTTTTGTTGTTGATCTAGTTGGTGCTGAAGAGAGTATATCAGTGGGATATTATAGTTTGGAGATGACGAACAGTTTGCCAGGATATACGTCTAATGACGATAGTAATGTGTTAAGGATATTTATCATTAGACATGGACAAACAGATCACAATGTGCAGAAGATATTACAAGGCCATAAGGATACAGATTTGAATCAGACAGGTATTGATCAATCTGCTAAGTTGGGTAGTTTTTTGAAGGAGAATAATACAGTTTTTGATAAAGTTATTAGCAGTGATTTGAAGAGATGTAGACAAACCATTGAGAATGTGCTGCAACATTCAGGACAAGAAGATATCTCAGTTGAGTACTACCCAGAGCTAAGAGAGAGGCATATGGGGGTTATTGAGGGGATGTATTTAAAAGATGCGGAGGTCTATGCTGATAAGCATGGAAAGGGATCCTTTAGAGATTTTGGTGAGCCTGCAGATGAATTTTTAGAGAGGTTGACAGGACAGATCAAAGAGAGTGCTCATCATGGATCCCTTCAAGGCAAGAAAAATATGGCATTGATCAGTCATGGTGGTTCAATCAGAACTATATTGAAATGGTTAAAATATGAGGAACAAAATGCACACAAGATCATTGTATTCAATACATCAGTTACTGTCATTGATTATATAAAAGATAGCAATCAGTTTATTGTGAAAAGTGTTGGTAATACCCGTCATTTGGGTGATGGAGAATTTGTCGTTAGTGATTTAAGACTACGTTAAACCCAACCTAAGACGCGGATAAGACTATTACTGCCGTCCATTCCATTTCTTTATGTCATTCCACCCTCTCACTATATCCATCCTCATTGAATTAACATTTAGTTTTACTTGTTTCTATATAATCTGTCTCTCTATATTTATATACATATCCACTAGATAGAGACCAAATTAGAATATACTACAGTTGTACCTCAGTCCTCAACACCACCAAGAACAAGACCAATACCGACCTGGGATGGGATGGGATGGGAGAAGAACATAAAGGACCACTGTAACTATAATTAAGTTCAGTCGAGTAGACCCTATCCAACCTCACCAAACTTAATTTGCTCAAGAAGAAAGCAAACCTAAAGTCTGCCATGCCATTGTACAATTTACCATCTCAACAGTGCAATTCTGCAACTGCAAGAGAGAAAAACTTACCATAACAATGGGAGTGGGGGGATGGAGGCAGGTGAGAGGTTCTAGAACGTAAACTGACCACCCTACCCATCTGAAATAGCACATACGACCATAGATGGGCCATTCCAGATGGAAGAAGAAGCTATTCTTGCCTTGCCCAACTCACTTTGATCAAGTACGCTACGCTAGGCCACGAACAATATATCTAAATGGGCAAAGAGGGTAAAGAAGCAAGTAGGTTCTAATTCCCAACACTACAACACTACAACACTACAATTGCACTACATGACATAGCATTAACCACAACACTGATGTTGTTCACGTCATGTCCTGTCTTGTCTTGTTATACAATAACTTGACGGTTACCTACCACTGCTAGTGCTAGTGCTCGTGCTACTGGTGATGGCCAAGATGAAGATGAAGATGAAGATGACCTGATTTAGTTTAGTCTTTGGATCGAAACAAAAGCAACGTTACTGATACCTTTACTAACTGACAAGCAAGAGTATAACTTGAACTAGGTGATAGATGTGGATTACTAATGGTGTGAGGTGAGTGTACCGGTGGTTGGTGGTTGGTGGTCGGTGGTTGGTAGTTCTTGTTCTTGTTCTTGTTCTGGTTGAAAAATGCTGCTGGCTGTAGAGGTTTCGAGGGGGCAGAAATAAGACTATGGATATGAGAGGGGAGAAGCAATACGGTAGTAAGAAGGTGAATGAATACACTCTTGAAGTCAATACAATACAATACAAGGTCTTGGATTCTGAAATGAGCAACCTAGACTTTTTTATAGATTGATCGAATTGTATATAAGTGAGTTTGTAATTTTGAATTGATTTGAAGGTTGGGTTTGATGTTCAATTTGTTCTCATTTGTAATTATCTTCTTGTAAAAGACGAATTAGACAACTGAACCATTGTTTGAAAACGACTTTTTAAATTAGGTTATAGATCAAGTTAAAAATAAAAAAAGAATATATATATATAAGATGTTGAAGGCTATTATTGACGCTTGGAATGGTAATGCTGGTGTAGAAGAAGCTAATGACGGCACTAAGTTGCAATTCGAGGATGTTAGGGCTTTGGTCGCTAGACGTGATCCATCTGTCGTCTTGGTTGACGCTAGAGAACCTTCTGAATTCTCTGTTGTTCAAATTCCAGGTTCCATCAATGTTCCTTACAAATCTCACCCAGAAGGTTTCTCTTTAAGTCCAGAAGAATTCGCAAGAACTTTTGGTACTCCAAAGCCAGATACTGGTAAAGATATGGTCTTCTTCTGTGCCTCTGGTATGAGAGCCGGTAAGGCCAGAGATGTTGCCATTAAGAATGGTTACACTAACACCAAGATTTACCCAGGTTCAATGAACGACTGGGTTGCTCACGGTGGTGATAAATTGAAGTTGTAAGAATGTTGGCGAACACCTTCTCATTGAATTGGGTTATTGGCAAACAAGGAGAAGTAAAAACGGCTCCAGTTTTTATGTTTAAATGACTGACTGTATAGTATTAGCAAAAAGGTTTATAAGTAAAGTAGGGTTCGCCAAAAGAATCCTAGTTATATATGTGCTCGTAAATTAAATAAATTTTTAATGGTATATTTGAAGAATTCAAAGATAATTCATTGTAAAATAGTAGTAATGTTGATTAGTCTTTGATTTATGATTGTAACAGAAACAGCATCAACATGAGATAACGATAACGTATGATGTGGAAAAAATTAGGGGAGTGCTTAAGTAGTAAAAGTAGCAAAAAAGTAATGGACACGACAGGAATCGAACCAGTGACCTCCTGCTTGCAAGGCAGGCGCGCTACCAACTACGCCACGTGCCCATTTTTGGTTGAAACTTTATTGTTAACAGTTTCGCCACAGCAACAGGGATAAATCATCTGCTTATCATGTGATTAAAAATTCAAATGTGTTAGTTACTAAACGTTTCAGCGATATGATTGATAACTGACTTTCTGTATATTAACTGGACTAAATGATATTGGAGATTCTTTTAAATTGTGGAGAAATATTTTCAATCAACTGATAATTTTCATTCAATTTACGCTACAATTTGTTTTAATACTTAACGACTTCGTCAATAATCTAAATCCACAACCCCAAGTAAAAAAAAACAATATTTATAATTACTTTACTATGTTATTTCTTTCATTGATCATATATTATCTTGGAGTCTTATACCAGAAAAGTTGAAAAATTGTGAGTTTCTTGTTTAATCAGGTGATTGGATATAATGACTAAGTTTAAATGTCATAATATATTAATCATATAAAAACAATGTAAATTTATTATTTAAAATGTATGAAAAGCTATATGTTAACTCGCTTACAATGATGGGGACTCTTTGGAGGTGGTGTTAATAATGAGTGTTTAGGACAGTAATAAGATTAACTAATTATTCTACAAAATTCTATTAGAAAAATATATACCATCTTGATATAATGGGGGAATTTGATGAAAATAATTGGTGGAAATAATACAATGATTAGTACACTCTTCTTTGTTGGTCAAAGTTCTATTATTAAATTAAAGATGTTAAAGGTGTACTACAAAAATTGAGATCTGTGTCAGGAGAATACTTTTATCACGTGTTTGAACCAAGAATCATTAAATAACTGGGAATTTGGAGTAATAGAGAGCGAAAGCTATTCTGGGGTACCAGAAATGTAGTTCTAGATTTTACTTGTTTATTGTTAATGACGCAGTCAAGAAGAAATATAAGAATTAGAAAGTAAAAAAAACAAGCTTTAAGAGAAGATTAAAGTTGTGTTCAGCCGAATTAAAATTTGAGTCACAAAATAATTAATTTTTACGAATCTTAAACTCTACTTTATATTCAATCTTTTAACGTAGACATAAATCAGATGCAGATATACATGCTAGGAGTTCTAAAAAGTGATATTAAACAATGTATAAGTACACAGCTCTACAGAAGATACATTATCTATATCTCACTTTGATTTGCTTTCCCTTCATTATTACTGTCACCAAGAGTGCCAGTCAATACCACAAATCAGATTGTTTGAAATTTTTGTAAACTTCAAAGTGACTTCTACATCCGTACATTTTCTATCATCATAAT